AGTCTCCTTCAGAGGATTTGAAATAATTATAATTTCCTGACTACATCAAAGAAAATGTCAACACCTGCCAGAAATTGAGCCATTTGCAAAAACGAACTAGTCAAACCTCTCTAAGTCGAATTTCAAGGGACCAGCAAAAAAATTCGATTTTGGGAGGTTTTGAATTGAGCTACAATACCCAGCCCTTTTGTTCTTGGAAACATAGAAAGATTGCTCAAAATTATAAATGGTGATATTCTGGGGCTGAAATTACTTCTTATATGAGTTGAAAGAATCCTGAAATCGGAGGCAGGGTTTATTTGCCCAATTAAGTCTCTCACCTCCTTTTAAAACAAATCAATTTCTGTTTTACTGCTTTTTTTCTTTTTTGTGTCAAGAACCTAAAAGCTGACGGGCCACAGAAAATTCAACTTATGGAGGTTTGAGGGGAAAAGCCTTTGACTTAAGGAGGTTTTTAATGCATTCATTCTAAGGGGATCCAGACAGGACTTGGAAAAAATTCAACTTAGGGAGGCTCCAGTTATCGAGGTTCAACTGTAAATTGAGCCATTCGCAAAAACGAACGGTAATATTACCACGGAAATTCGGGCATGTAAATGCAGAAAACTCATTAGGAAAGCGAAAAATCTGCGAATTACCTTAAATCGTTTGAAACCATGGATAAGTACTGCATCATGACTCACCATCGTAAAGAATGTATGCGCAGAATGCTTCAGCCGACGGAGCAATGATATCCAATGCATCGGCATCACGGCTGTTTTCGGGCGAATTGGCGGCTAAAACGTCGCCGCCGCTCAAGGCTGAACAACGGGCGTTTTTGGGAAAATAATCTACGTCGACCGGACGTACAAAGGATTCACTGCACTGGCGGCCCGGGATTGGTACACCTTCGGCGAATTTTCGATGCGCTTGCAAACGTATTCTGTCAACATCGAAATCAAACAATACCGCGTCATTATAATATTTATAGCGTACTTTCATTTCATTAAAAAAACAGTAAAAATAATCAAACGACGCCTACGCCGAAAACTTCCTACCCATCTGCAGATAATACCAGATAGAACTCCTGATTATCCCAACTTCTTTGTTCGTTCTCGTCACTATTTCAGACCGGGCTAACGCGCTAAGAAAAGTTATCCTCACGAGACGCATGTAACCTCTCGTGAAATCGCACTTCATTCTTTCAAATCTCTCCCGAACTGCTGAACAGAAACCACAGACAAGCCCAACATTAAGGAAATACGGTACTGCGGTTGATCCCCGCAAAACAAGACATTCTTCTCGTGGATACGTTTTCCGTAATGCGAAACGCGATTTCTGTCAAGGTTACAAGATAAATGCTTTAATTTGTTCCCCACACCAACCAAAAGACCAAAATAAGCCTCAGAACCAGTATTTTTCCAAGTTGTCAGAAAAAATTTGTGATTTAGCCTCACAACTTACGAACCATGTTAAGTTTGGGGTCTCTTACCTTTCTGAAACTCAAAAAAATTTTGAAGACAAGAGGTTGAAGTACTGCATACCGTCTTTTCTAATTATGGTCGTTTTCTTGGAAAAATTCCGAAGTTTCACTCCAAAACTAGCGAACATTTATGCGTTTTTTGCCAAAAGATTGTATTAAAGTCTCTTTGTTTGCCTCACAAAAAATTCGCAACGGGAAATTTGTTGTTGTACGGTTCTTTCGTAAAGCGGGAATCCACTGCACAGCCAGACCCTCGTTAAAGCGATTTCGTTATCGACACTATCTCGAGGAAATAATTTTCACATTCTGGCGAAGATTCATCGAAACTGAAATATGTATCTAGCCGATCATAAGTATCTGATCAGTGGTGCAATTACAATTTTTCTTTACATGGATTGGAATGAAAGATGATGACACCAACCTTTTCGGTGCGTCGCCATTTGTTCGGCTCGTCAGATCCGTAGGCTCTACCGGCGCAGATCTTCTCTTGCCCCGGTTCATAACAGCAGAGAGCACATTCACACACCTTTCTCTGAACGCAAAAAATACCACCCAGATCAGCACTAAAACAACCTTGCCACTTTTAAAACTCACGCACTGTCACACTTGCACAAAGCAATATTTAATAATGCTAATCACAGGTGAACTAAAAAACAAGTCGAACGCAACTTTTTCGGATAAAAACGCGATCACGAGGCTGCCTTTTGCGCAGCTGC